TCTGGTTTTGCGTTGGCGCAAGAGAAAATGATTTAAATGTACTGCCGTAGGCGTAAAAAAATAAAAACCGGTGCAGCCCCATGGTGTATGCAGTATGGCAGCGCACACGGCACAGGCACAGCCCGGCCGCATCACAGCCAGCCCACCCCCTTACCATCCGAGATACATCAGTGCGTCCCCGGTGTGCTGGCTGCTGCGCGGTGCCGCGGCGGCGCGGGGTCCGGAAAAGGTAAGCGAGGAAACCGTCAAAGCTCAATCCTCACAAACCGCTGTGAAAAATGTATATCTCTATCTATCTCGGTCGACGGCAGACTTTTACGTTTTCAGTACCGTACTTTTAGCTTACTGGGAGAAGAGGGAGAGGGGGTTGTGTTCTCTTTATTAGGCCCCTAAGCGCAAACAAAGGGCCCTAGACTCGCGCGGCGCGTGTGAGAGCGGTATAGTGCTGGCCCAGACCGCACTCGTCCGGTCTCCGCAGACGCGAGGACCCCCCGCGGCATATGGATGGGCATCATCCGCGTGGGATGACATCATGTCATCCCGGGGATCAACATTGCACATGGGCTCCAGCTCCGGCGTCCGAGGCCGGGCGGCCCATCCTCCCATCCATGTCTCCTGGCCGGGGCCCCATCGCCCATGCCATGGTGGATCTCGATGGGCCGCAGGGCCCGCGCACACCGCGGCACAAGTCGGCAGAGCTGACCCCACCTTCGGACCCCCCACGCGACACGCGCCCCTTCACAGGCCTCTCGGCGATTTTCCGGTACGATAGCACGCTAAACACACCACACCGCTTGCGCCACTAGGGGGCCTCGCACAGTTCCACAGAGCACAGTTCGTCAGGCGGTGAGTCCACACGTGTTCAGAAAAAAGAGGGCTCGGGCGATCGCCGCTTCAAAACTCGTCGCTTTCGCTGTCGGCCGCGCCAAAATCATCGAGCGAGCCGGCGCCGAGGCCGCCGAGGCCGCCACCCCCCATCATCTCTGCCAGCTTCTCCTGAACGCCCTCGGCGTCCATCCCTTCAAACATGCTGCCCATCGCGCCCATCGACTGCTGCATCATCTCGGCCATCTTGCCGACGTCGAGCTGGCCCTCCTCGTCCTGCATCTGCGCGAAGGCGTTGGTGACGTGGGCGATCCCCTGCTCCAGCGCCTCGGGGTCGGCGAACGCCTGCTTCAGCCCCGGCACCGCGTCCGCCATCTGCGCAAACATCGGGTTGTTTGCCATCGCGGCGATGCCCTCGCGCAGCTTGTCCGGGTCCGTCAGGACGGACTGCATCTCTTGCATGAGGTTCGCGCCCTCGCCCTCGCCTCCCATCAGCTCGGACAGCTTCTCCTGCAGCGCGTCCGGGTTCTCGAGCAGCGATGCCGCCTCCTTCATGTTGGCGGCCATCGCCTGCGCAAAGTCCTTGCCCGCGCCAGCCATCATCTTGCCGAGCTCCGCCGTGTCGCCCCCCTCCCCGCCCCCCATGAGCTCCTGCAGCATCGCCATCTGCGCCGCCGGGTCGGCGTCCGCGCCGCCGCCCGCCGCCATCTCGCGGAGCTTGGCGAGCTTGGCCTCGAGGTCGCCGCCCGCCGCATCGGCGGCGGGCTCAGACTCGCCAAGCGGGTCGACGCCCACGCGGCGCGGGCGGAGCTGCGCCTCACAGGACAGGAGCGCGCCGAGGACGAAAACGAGGCGAAACATTCGGAACTGGCTTTGGTCGCCGCGTCGCCGCGTGGTTGCGAGAACACAAGCCGAGAACGCGCTCCGGGGACGCCACCCGCCCACGAATTCTTTTCGCCCGCATTAAAAACCGGCAGTTAGCTCCGTGCGCTCGACCAGGGAAGTTCGCTCAGGATGTGTGGCAGCCGCCCCGTTGGCTGAGTGTCTTGTCTTGTGGTTCTGTGTGTCGCTCCTGTGTGACCGTCATCGCCCGTCTAGCGTCCACCCATACCGCGTTGGTGTCCCAGTCGTTGGTCGGACTGTGTTTCGCCTTCCTATCTATCTATCTATGCTCGACCGGGGGAAAAGAAGCATACCGGGGGAAAAGAAGCTTCCTGCGGGTGGGGACCCAATCCTCGCCTTAAAGGCCTACTTTGAGCTCACGGCGAGAGGCCGCAAAGGAGGCCCTTTTGCTTGTGGTGCGCTCGCCTCCACCACGCTCCGCTGCTGCCCTCTTGGCGGCTCTCCGCCCCCCAGGGATACTTACTGTAAGGTCGAAAGTTCACAGCTGAGCTTACCAGAGAACTCCGTTCTCACCCAAAACTCTTTCGCACACGCACGATTCACACACACAACAGGCAAGCGCGGACGACGCACTACACACGCACTCGAACACACACTAAATAGCGCACTAAACTATCACTAAAGTTCATTCACACGCACTAAATTTAGACCCAGGCGCCCTTCTGCAGTGTCCCGAACTCTGCGTGTCACGGCGACTCTTCACGCGTCTTCGAACGGGGCGCGGCAAACGACATGTTCGACGAGGTCAGATCTGTCTACTCTGTTGATGACAACACTTGTCTACTCGCTGGAGCCGAGCAGGAGGGCCTGGCGCACAACCCCTGGCCTTCTAGGCCCGCGGGTAGTCTCCCCCCATACCCCAGGGCCTCCAGGGCTCGCACCTCAACCTCTCACAGACCAGCGCATAGCGCCATAGGACGTATTTTCTTCGCATAACAAGGCTGTGCAACTGAGGGTCCTTCCGTCCTTCCCCTTTATTCCTGCGCCCGTCTCGGGTCAGGTGGCACGACGCTCATCGCGCCTGCCAGCGCTGCCGTGCAGGTTGCCACGACGAGGTCGAGCACGCTTCTATACGCTCGCCGAGCCTTCCTTTCCATCCCATTAGTTAGGCAGCCTGGGAACGGTGGCGGTCAGAGGCAAAGCCTACGAGGGGTGGTGGAACCACATGTCACGGCTACTGCCGGCTCGACCCCACGATAGCCTCCGAAGGCTGACTTTGAGGCACCATCATCGGACGATATCGACGAGTTGGGTCGCTCTCGCGATAGCCAGATGACCCTCCCATGCTAGTACCATCGGCTAGGGCCGCAGGAAGCGCGGGGGAGGGCGCTGGGAGCAACACGGAGCTCCGTCGGACGTTTTCAAGAACAAGATTAGCGTGTGTCAGAAGTGAAATGGAACTAGCCCAAACGGGGCACACAAGTCAGGCTCCAAACACGGGGAGGCACGTAGTGACGCAAGGGAGTCTAGGCGACGGTGGCGTCCTCCGACGCCGCGGCGAGCCTGGGCCCTCTTACGTGGATAGGTCGGAGTCTGGCAAGTGCCGATTCCCGAAGAAAGGGTTGTCGCCGCTGCCGCCTCCGCCTCCGCCTGCCCCCTCGCCTCCGCCTCCGCCGCCGCCGCCGCCCTTTCCCGTCTTCTTCTTGGCCGTCTTACCTCCCTTTGCGCGCACCGCCGCTGGCTCCGGCGCCTCGAGATCTGTGGTTTCCGCGGCGCGGTTAAGGGAGGAGCCCGCCGCCGCCGCGTGCACCCCCGCCAGGCTTCCGGCGGCGGCGGCGGAGGTGGCGGAGCTCCACTCGCTGCGCGCGGTAGAGGGCTCGGCCTATGTGTGGCGGTTTCTACCTTCAGAGCAGTGATGCTCCCATTTCGCACACGCGCAGTAAGCGCGAAAGCTCGCGGCCTGGCCGGCCGTGTTAATTGTGGCCGCCTGCCGCTGGCGCGGCTTGACGCTCTCCCCCTGGCAGGAGCAGCCAAAGATGAGCTCGACCAGCCCGACAAACCTGCAGTTCGAGATTGCTTACTCTGATTCTCATCCTGACCAGCAAAAGAGGAGAGCCCCCCCGAGCACGGTCTGACAAACCTAACATGAACCCATTCTTGTTAGAGGAAGGAGGCAGAGTGGAGAGCGCCCGGGATATCCGCCGGCAGAGACATGGCCATCCCGCCAATCGCCCACGAGAAGAAGCAGAGCGCGCACGAGCCTGCGCAGTGTGAGGCGTCGGGGTGTGAATGCGGGCCCGGGGGGTGTGTGCTTTTGTGTGAATGCGGTATCGTGCCGTGCATTCGGACGAGTGCCGCGCGAACACACACGCGGGCTGAGTACGACGAACACAGCGGAGAATATGCGGCTGATGCAGTTGAATATGCGTGGCATCTCGAGTGCGAGTCGGAGGGCAAAGAGACGTGTTCGCTTCTAGGGGCACGCGCCGCCGTCGGGGTCCACCAACAGAATGTTGGTGCCGCAAAAGAAGAAGAAGAACGCCCGCCCCGCCCAGTGCCCGAGGAAGCCGAAGCGGATGAGCAGCCACTCCGTCTTGCCAAATTGCAGCAGCAGCATCAGCACTCCGAAGAAGATGTTCCACATCTGTGTGGCGTCGCGGCGGCGCGGCGGCGGCGCGGTCAGACGGGAGCGAGCAGCACAGGGCGACCGACGCGCGCGTCAAGGAGGGCGAGCCGCACCACACGGATGAACGCGACGAAGTTCACGAGGAGGCCGACGGGGTTGAGTACGAGCAGGAGCACCCCGAGTGTGATGAAGCAAGTCCCGACGACGCTCGTAAAGACCTTCTTTATGCTCTTTAGGCCTGGCGCGTGGCGGAAAGGTTGGGTAGAGGTGCGTGGAGGGTGCCGGAGAGCGCGGAGCCTCAAGGCGCTCAAACGCCCCGCGCTTCCCCGGGGGCGGAACGGCGGCGAGGCACGCGCCTTTGATCGTGCAGCAAGCCCACTTGATCTGGTCGAAGAGCGTCATGAAGAGAGTCTGGGGTTCACAAGGCGGCGCCTGCTGAGGCGCTCAGAACAAAGAATTTTCTGGGACCGCCTAATCCCTTTCTGGTGGCCGGGTGCCATCCTCCCATCCCTCCCTTGGGTTGCCTCTTTTTTCTTTCTTTTTCGGGAGCCGCCTAAGGGTGAGGCGCTCGTCCAAGAAGACATGCTCAAAAGAAACCAGGCTGCCTGACGTGACACACCCCCGCCTACATGAACATGTGATGCCGACTGCCATCCACACGCCTGGCCACGCCCTCGCATCCCCGACAGCGGCAAGCGGCAAGCGCCTCGCCGCCCACCCTGCCCACTCTCCGCCCGCAGCCGCACTCGTGCGCCCATCCAGTTTGCTGAACGCTCCGCGCCTGCCGCCGCCCTCATAGGAACGCCGCGATATGATTGAACTCGCTTGGGCCTTGGCGGCCTCATCACGCCCTCCTTTGGCGGATTCGCCGCTCTCGCCGTGGATCATGATGGCCTTGCTGCGTAGCGCAAGAAGACTTCAAAAGACGGAAGGCCGGCCGAGCCAGTCTCTGTGCACCGCCCTCCACGAGAGAGCAGGCTACCTAGCCACTCTTTCCTTGTGTTTCTTTTTAAAGTGTCTCTCTCTATACTCTCGAAAACGGCAGAACCCCATTTAGAGGAGAGAGGGAGAGTGAAAACTCAGAGTCCCAACATCGCCATCTCCTCGGGTGTGCTAGCCAGACTACCTATCAGGTGTGGTGCATGCCACGGTGCACGGGCAGACATAAGACACCTTCTCAACTCACCCACACCCCCTCGCTCCAATATTGCCGCCAAGCACCTCTTTGTTCTCACGGGGGAAAGGCGATGCTTTGTCGGTGTACCGCGCCTTTTCCATGGTCTCGTGTCGTTTTGCGATCAGCGTGGTGCATTCCTTCACGCGGGCGAGCCACTCGGGTGTTGGAGCAGGCAATCCCGGTGGATGTCCCAGCCCCTTGGTTGCTGCCAAAATCTCCGTCGGCAGCACGGCACTGATGAGCCGCGTGTTGTGGCCAACAATGCCTTGCAGCATGAAGGTATCTTTTTGGTGGTAATTCCATGGCGGGTTGACAATGTACTGTTGCCAGACACCGTCTAGCAGCCCCAGGAACCACGCGTGCGTCTGCAAGTGTGCCGAGAGACCGCTATGCCGAAGAGGGTTCTGCGTGTTTAGCACCCTCCCGTCATCGCTGATGATGGGCTGGACGTCAAGCTGCCCCTCAATGACGTTGTCTGTGCAATTTATGAGAAACGAGCCGCGCTCCAACGGAACGTAGTCATGCGTCTGCCCGTCAGGAGATCGCACCTTCATGCGGAGCCCGTCAGCGCTCTCCTCGATGTCCACCAGATGGCCCTTTCGGGTACGCTCCGTGAGTGCGGCTCTGCAAGTCTCGATCTCTTGCTTACTTGCAATCCCCGCCACAAAGTTCTGAGCGTCAGGCACAAACGAATGGAAGAACCCCTTCCTGGACAGTTCTTGGTAAACGGCCTGCGCATTCTTGCCGTCGAACATGGCGCACATCTCAAGAAAGTAGACTGGGAGGAGGTTGCCGTCGGTGTCCACCGGGTGATCGACCTGCTCGCGGTCCATAAACCACGTTCCACGTCCTGCAATGCACCGGAACCGGGAGACCCAACCGGGTTCCCGCAGGCTCAGCGCGCAGATGACATCCATAGCCGCCTTGCCGCTGCCGATGATCCAAATGGGCTTGTCTGCATCCCGAGAGTATTTCATTATCGAGTGCCACCTCGGAGAGAGGATATCGGCTGGGCACAGCGAATGCACAGCGGCAGAGACCGGAGCCGCAAAGGCGATTGGTCGCTTCACCGGCACATTCACCCCTGTGGCGATGATCAGCTTGTCTGCACAAATAGTGACGGGGGGAGGCGTGACTGAGCCACCGTTGAGCAGCGATCGCACCACCAGCCGAATGCGGCCACCTTGTTCGACCGAGTGGCCGCCGTACTCGTACTGGAAGAGCGGAACCAGCTCGAGGTCCTTTTCACGCACGTTTGCTTCCACGACGTCCTCAAAGTGCTGGAGGATCTCCTTCTTGGACGCGAGGTGGGACCAGGGCTTCGACCCGCTGATTGACCACTCACGCTCGCCCGCGGTGTACAACGGATAGGCTTGGTGCAGGCGCACAAAGTCGTACTGCTCCACCCACTGACCACCCCACCCGCTCTGCCTGGCGACGACGAAAACGCGGGCGCCCCGGCGCAGGTACTTGCTCGCAGCGTTCAAGGCATTGACGCCGGCGTAGCCAGCGCCAATGATGCAGAGGTCACAATCCTCCATCCGGCCATTCGGCCCTGCACGTTGAAGCACACCAACGAAACGATTTGGGCGGGCGTTCGAAAGTGATTTTTTTGCATTCTCCCGCCGTCGTTTGCGTCCGCCGTGTCACGTGTCTCTCGCGTCTCATTACATGCATGGTTCAAGCAAAAAATACGTAAGAGCTACATACACTGAAAAACCTCAAGCAATAATCCTACTCCAATATGTATATAATCGACGGAGCCGGAGGGACACGCCTGCGTGGATCGCGTCACACCAATCCTCGCTACCCAACGCGGCCAAAGGATATCCACCTCGAGAACCTCGAGAGAGAGGGGGACCGCGCCCCGCGGGGTCCGCGCTCCGCGGGTTGGTTTTAGGGCTCGCGCGTCGGAGAGTATACAGTAACCTATACACGTCCTCTTCCAGACATTTTTACGGCCTTGCCTTACAGGCCTTTTCAAAACGACTGCTCTCTGCACAGCGCGGCGAGGTGGGGGAGAGACTAGATCTAGAGTACCGCATTTTGCCGTCACGTCACGGAGCCCTCGAACGGAGAGCACAATGCCTCCACCACGCGCCGGCTGAATGCCTCTTCGTTCCAACACCCCTGGTCATTGGAAGGCCTGCTTGCCGGGAGGCTGGTACGGGCTCTCCAGGTAGGCTTTGAGCTCCGCATTGTTGCAAATCTCGCCTTTCTGCTTCGCCTCCTTTGCGCAGGTCGCGTCGTAGATGGATTTCATGTCCTACACTCCCGAGACGGACGACTAATAATCATGGTGCGCGCCGAGCGCGCGGGCGCCAATCAGGCGAACGCGTACGTCGTGCATGATGATCGCAATCTTCTTCTTTCGCTTCAGCTCCACAGCGCCAATCGCGGCCGCGATTTTCTCCTTCTTCTCCTCCAGGCTGAGGCCTTTGAGCGACTCCTGCAGCGCCGGCTCCTTGCACGGCTCGAGCTCACTCGTGGGGTTCTTTGAGCAGAAATCCATCGTCATCTTGGCCTGTGGGGTGGTGGCAAACCGCTCACTCCCATGCCACAACACGCGGTCGCAGTGGCAGAGTGGTGGAGACCATTGCGCGCCCGGCTTGAGAGCCAAGGGCGCTGCGCGCCTGTGCTTTGCGCCACAGGGGCGGCGGCTGCGGCTCCTCTTGCGCGAGCACCGCCGCGAGGCCGATGAAGAGGGCGGCGCGGCCTCGCATATATTACCCTGCCAGCTGGCCGACTTACGAGAGCCGACACGTCAATCGAAAAGTCTTCCCCGCGGGACGCACGCCGCCTGACATGCCCGAGTGTATACTCGAGTATGCCGGCGGGAGGCAGCGCCACGAGCTGCCCCCTCGGGCCGCGCCTCGAGGCGCTGCAATCGCTGCTCCGGTCCACCTCGCCGGAGTGGCCCCACGTCGGCCACGGCAACGCGGCCTGCATGTTGCCAACCTCGGCGTCGACGGTCACGCCACCGTTAAAGTGGGTCAGGCACGTCGTTGAAAGGCCGTCCTCGCGTAGTATGCCCGCCACGTCACCGGCGCCGGGCACGCTGAAGTCGACGACGGTGGAGTCGGCCGAGATAGTGAGGACGAAGACCGCATCCTCGTTCACGTCAAGTGACGCCGCCACGTCTCGTCGGAAGGCGGTGGCAAACGCGTCGCGCGAGGTGGCGGTGACCTCGTGGGCGAGGCTCAATGTCACAGTCGCCTCGCTCGCTGGCGCCGGGATCTTTGGTGCCGCTTCTCGGTCGCAGGCCCTCCCCAGGTCGGCCATCAGTGGCAGGGAGGGGTCCGGGGGCGGGGGAGGTAGGTAGGGCGGAGGAGAGGGGGGCGGTAACGGCGGTGGAAGAGGCGGAGGGGGTGATGGCGCATAGGGCGGGGGTGGTGGGGACGGCAACGGAGTTGGTGATCGCGGAGGGGGAGGTGGAGGTAAGGGCGGAGGGCTTGGTGGGGGCGGAGACGGCGGTGGCGGGGATGGTGGTGGCGGGGAGGGCAATGGCCGGTGCGACGGCGGTAGCGCAGCCGGTGTCAGGGGCGGCGGAACCGGCGATGGCGATGGCGATGGCGGTGGCGACGGAGGGGGAGGCGGGTACGGAGGGGGCGGCGGGGACGGTGGCGGCGGAGAGGAAGGCGGGGGAGAGGGTCGATGGGATGACGGTCTTGGTGGAGGCGGCCAGGGAGGGGGTTGCAGAGGCGGCGGCAACGGAGGAGGTGGAGGAGAGGGGGGCGAGGGTGATGGAGAAGGTGGCGACGGCGGCTGTGGAGAGGGAGGCGGCGGAGGGGGCGAGGGGGTTGGTGTCGGCGGCCACGGATGGGGTAACGGTGGTAACGGCGAGGGAGGGGGTGGGGGAGGTAACGGCGGCGGCGGGGGGAGCGAAGGGTGAGGTGGCAGAAGAGGTGGAGGCAGGCGAGGCGGCGGCGGGGGTTGGCACGGGGGCGGCAAAGATGGAGAGGGGGGAGGGGGGGGGAATGAGGGAGAAGGAGAGAAAGAAAGAGGAGGAGAGAGGAAGAGGGCTAGGATGGGGGGGGGAGAGAGAGGGGGCAGGGGGGGGTTTGGAATGTCCGACTCCCGGGTGGAGACACTGCCCTTTGCAGGAGTCACGTGTCCCCAACGACCGGCAGTCGGTAATGAGGTTTGGTTGGTTGAGGAAGTCGGCCTCCGGTTCCTGAAGCAGGGCAGAAATAAATAAAGGTTAGGGACGTCTCGGGCAGTTATCGCCGCGTTGAATCCCTTCGTCTGCCGGAACGATCTCCCATCGGTTATAATAACCGGCGGCAATCGATAGTCAAAGTTGGGCTCCGGAAAGCGATAGAGCGCCCGCCCATGCCCTCCGCTTGTTGTGCAGCACTCGCGGCGCGCGCGCGCCGCGGTGTTGACCAACGACCGTGCCACTGGAGGCTCCCACGCCACTCGCGGCGATCCGCATCGAGGCCGCCCGTCGGCGCAGCAAAGGCACTGCGCACTTCTGGGCAGCGCCCAGAATGCAGGGAAGGCCTTGGCGCTTCTCGCCAGCCAGGCTGACTCGGCAACCGGCACGCGAGCCGACTGCGCGTCCCGAGCCCACGGATCGGCGCCGTCGCACAGGCCCGCCAGCCGCCGCACAGCTCCAGAGAGGCCACTGGCGTTGCGCTGCACTGCTTGAAGCTGATGTTGAGGCGCTGCACTGCTCAAAGCTGCCCCGTGCGCCGCCGCGAGCGCCGCGCCGTGGCCTCGTTCTCTGGCGAGCCCCAGCACGACCCCTCGCGGCCACTCGCGCCGTTGCAGCAGCTCCGACCCCGCCACTCCGGCTCCCGAGCGCGCGACGAGCACGAGGAAGAGCATGCGCATGGGCCAAAATCAGTTACTCTCGATCAGTTTCTGACGCGCTAATCTTGAAAACGTCTCCAACGGAGCTCCGTGTTGCTTCCAGCGCCCTCCCCCGCTTGCCCTGCGGTCATGGCCGATGATCCTAGTATGAGAGGTCATCTGGCTACCGCGAGAGCGACCCAACTCGTCGACATCGTCCGATGATGATGCCTCAAAGTCAGCCTTCGGAGGCTATCGTGGGGTCGAGCCGGCAGTAGCCGTGACATGTGGTTCCACCACCCCTCGCAGGCTTTGCCTCTGATCGCCACCGCTCCCAGGCTGCCTAATGGGATGGAAAGGAAGGCTGGGCGAGCGTATAGAAGCGTGCTCGACCTCGTCGTGGCAACCTGTACGGCAGCGCTGGTAGGCGCGATGAGCGTCGTGCCACCTGACCCGAGACGGGTCGCAGGCGTCGTACCGAGCGCGTCGAGACCGTGTCCTGATGTGATCAGCACGGGTGAGTCACGTCGGCGTCAAAGGAGCGACGTGCGACCTGTCAGAGCTTGATCTCCGATCTCAGCGGCGTCGAGTCGTCTCCGGCGCGCGACAAAGGTACATCCACAGGACGCGCAGAGGCAGCTGCGATCGGAGATAGAGCTCTGACAGGTCGCACGTCGCTCCTTTGACGCCGACGTGACTCACCCGTGCTGATCACATCAGGACACGGTCTCGACGCGCTCGGTACGACGCCTGCGAC